TATATATATATATATATATATATATATATATATATATATATATATATATATATATATATATATATATATATATATATATATATATATATATATATATATATATATATATATATATATATATATATATATATATATATATNATATATATATATATATATATATATATATATATATATATATATATATATATATATATATATATATATATATATATATATATATATATATATATATATATATATATATATATATATATATATATATATGTTTTATATATGTATATATATATGGTTTAGACAAGATTTTTTTTCAGCGCTGAGCTTTCTGAGCAATCACACTCGTTTCTGTTGAGCCTATAAAGGCAGTAGCCAATCAGAGTGGATTTGATTAGTTATCGCTGAAAACGTCGGAGTTCAGCTCGCGAATTTTCTCATCAATAGTATTTTGTTTTGCAGCTTTGGTGATTATAATGTGAGATTTTATTTTTTATTTCTGTGCAGTTATTTTGTCATGAAGTTGCAGCCTTTATACGCTGTGGTGTTCCTTTTTTACTCTTTGCATATTTTATGTACATGTACACTCACTTGCCACTTTATTAGGTACACCTTACAAGTAACCAGTCTGAGATGATTCACGCTTTATGACGTGGTCCTGCTTTATTGTCCTGCTGGAAGTGCTGGCCACTGTGGTCATAAAGGGATGGAAATGGTCAATAACAATACTCAGGCAAGCTGTGGTGTTGACACAATGCTCAACTGGTACTAATGGGCCCAAATTGTGCCAAGATAATCCCTTCCACGCCATTACACCACCACCCCCAGCCTGAACCGTTGATACAAGCCAGGATGGATCCATGCTTTCATGTTGTTGATGCCGAATTCTGACCCCACCATCCGAATTTCGCAACCAAAATTGAGACTTATCAGACCAGGCAATGTATTTCCAATCTTCTATTGTCCAATTTTGGTGAGCCTGTCTGAATCGTAGCCTCAGTTTCCTGTTCTTAGCTAACAGTAGTGGCACCCGGTTTGGTCTTCTGGTGCTGTAGCCCTCAAGGTTGGACATGTTGTGCGTTCAGAGATGCTCTTCCGCATACCTCGGTTGTAACGAGTGGTTATTTAAGTAACTGTTGCCTGTTGAACTGTTGTTCTTTCATCTGGAACCAGTCTGGCCATTCTCCTCTGACATCAAAAAGGCATTTGCACCCACAGAACTGCCCCTCACTGGATTTTCTCTTTTTCAGACCATTCTCTGTAAACCCTAAACATGGTTCTGCGTGAAAATCCTAGAAGATCAGCAGTTTCTGAAATACTCAGACCAGCCCGTCTGGCACCAACAACCATGCCACATTCAAAATCACCTTTTTCCCCGTTCTGATGCTTGGTTTGACCTGCAGCAGATCATCTTGACCATGTCTATGTGCCTTAATGCATTGAGTTGCTGTCATGTGATTGGCTGGTTAGAAATTTGCGTTAACAAACAGTTAGACAGGTGTACTGAATAAAGTGGCCGGTGAGTGTAACTCTTATTTCAGTATTGTTTTAACAACCTTAATATATGACAAAGGGCACAAATAAAGTTAAAATGAGAAGTTAATGATTATAAAATTGACCTTTTAAATAATAATTTACTTCTTATTCAAACAAACACACACACAAGACAAAAAACAACTGACGTCATATGAAACAATCCACATAAAGCATTTTTATTTAAACAGTTCATCTGATTGCAATAAGTTCTACATTACAAGTGCATGCATCGTAAAGATCTGTTTGATCATTCTTTTTTAAAACATTAGATGTACACTGCAAATCAGAATATTGCTTCTATTAGGGTGAATTTGGCACAGAATGATGGTTAATGGTGATAAGCTTCAAACATTGTTAGTAGTAAAACTGAACTCCACACTTCATTAAATCAAACAACTTTACTGCAAGAAGCTCAAATCTCCCCTTCACTCAACAAAACACTGACGTCGGATGTGATTCACAGATTTTGGTATGAGGTTTTTACATTCTGTCATCAAAGTATGAATTATTGCGGCAGTTTAGATGATTGTAGATTTTCTTTCGTGCCGTGTTTATACATATTCCAGGTTATGCAGAGTGAGATTAATGCATTACAAAGTACAAAACTACAAAGTACATGTTCCTGTGATGAAATGACATAAGAGACTACTATTTATTCTTCAGTAATCCCCGTAACAGTTATTGATTTTGTAATTACTTGCGCTACATATATGATTTCAATGTACTAAGGCTAATTTAACAACTATAAGGTCCAACAACAAATATACTATTGATCTAAAAGCACTTCTTTTCATTTTGACATGCTAACCAAGTATGAAGACGGCCGAAAAACGGTCTCTTTTGTGAAATGTGAAAGAAATTCAAATGTATGCACTAAAAAAACCATCTCAACTTTACTGAACGGCACAAGCAGTGTGATAAAGAGTTTGAAAAATTGGCCACAGGAAAATAAAGTCTGCTAAAGTTACAAAATGAATGTGTAAATTATTGATTAATATGTCATGTTATTACTATTTAGAGTAACTAGTAATCACATTGCAGTACAAAACATAAAGAGGTAATTATTATTAAAAGACTTCTTTAGCTACTTCCTCAACACTGATTTATAAAGTACTTGCACGCCTCCTTGTGGTAAAATTCATTAGTCAAAATAAATAAATAATAATTAAAAATTTGAGTTAATGAAATATAATATTGCAAAATTAAAGAATATTCGATGAGCTATA